TCCAAACAGAAAACACTTAAACTCATAAAATTCCTGAGTAACAAATAGCTCAAATTTGGAAGACGACCCACGGAAAATATCATACATACCTGACCTATTCTTGTGCTCTCTCATTGTGACAGAGAGATACTCCAGATATGTCCACAAAATGTTTACTCCATTACACGTTTCAGAAAGTTTTCCTCCAAGAGAGAAAACCAACCTCACCTGACTGACCATGGGAGAACTGTCTAAAAATTCTTCCTACTGCCTTAAGGTCTACAGTGGGCAAGCAATCTAATTGGAGAAATCTCTAAATAATTTCAAGTATTTTGTCAGCTTTCACAGAGCAAAAATCGGAACTGTTCTTGCAATTGGAAATGGAGGGTTTTTCCTTATCCCAAACCTACCAGTTAAAATTGATGTGCAAAAGATACTTTACCCACATCCTCAAAAATCATTCCCCCACCCCTCAAAGAAAAAAATTAGGGGAAAAAATAAAAATCACACAACTCGAAACAATCACAGAAAATGCTTAAATCTTGACCTACATGCCAATACAATATTCCTGTATTTTTATGCTAATTGCCCAAACTCCTTCAGTTCATTTTAAACTTTTTCAGTGTCTTCTTCCTCTTACATAAACCTGAAGTTATCCTATTTGTCCCGTACCTCTGCATCAGTTGACAATCACCATTCTCCTTGAATTACTGTCGTGTCTCAACAACCAGGTATGTGTCTACTTCTGTTCATCTGCATGAGCACTGTCTTATGTCTCTTTTTTTTCCTCTGCATGCACATTCAATCATACAACTTGGAAAAAAAAAATCCTAATCCACACCACAACTAAGAATGCCCAAGGCTGTGTTCCCTGTCAGTTCCATGCATTCTTTCAGAAATCTCACCAGTAAGTATCAATTATTTCCATTCGAGACTACCTCCCTTCCACCAAAACCAAATCTTAGCATGTAACATAATTTCTCAGACTTCTGGCAACCAGCAGGAGATCAGAGTTTTTATACTTTCCTTCCACCTCCAAAAGCTCTCCCTTAATTAGCAGATTTGTTACTAGGCACACCACAGACATTCAGATTCCTAACCCAAACAAGCTTGAAACTAGTATTTCCCAAAATTCTGCCACTGCTTGGATAAGCCTCATCAACTTGTTCTACAAAACAGCTTTTCATCTCAGGAAGACTTGCACCATCTTCTATTTTTATGATTTCGGCATCCTTCTCTCTGGCCTAGAACAAAATGAACAGACCCACCTGCAGACTTATCTGAGCGACATTTGTGTGGAATGCTTCTCCAAAGGATGTGTGACTTGCCAGCTGAACAAAGCCAGTAAGGAAAGAAGTACATGTTTTCCTCTCTGCATTATAGAGGATAAAATTACCCCAGTACAGAGAAGAAAAAACAATCTGTTGTTTCTTCTAGGAAGTTGTTCACAGAACGAAACTTCTCTTCATCCCTTTCCAGGACCACGACAAGGAAAACAATCTTTTATTTCTGACACTACTTATTCACTGATTCCCCTCCAGCTAACCAAGCCAACTATTTGGTTTTGCTTTAAAAAAAAAAGTTACTTTTGAACCCTGTCCTGTAGCCAGATGAATCAAAATGCTGACTTCAAATGATCAGCAGCAGTAGGCTCTGTCTGACACAGACCCGTCAGGCTTTCAAACAAGCACCTTCACACCTTAGGGAAAGGGTTTGTCTAACCTCTGCCTTATCATGACACACACAAAGAAACTTCCCCTTAGCACCACAATTACTTACACTGAACACCATGGTCTCATTTCTTTGCACTCCACCAGTTTCCTTAAATTATATTTTGAACTGGAGTCAGCTCCAACAGATGTATTTACTTGATCCTCAACGAACAATAACACGTAGAGAACTCTCAACTAACAAGGCAGTTGCTAGTCAAAAATGTAAGATATGCAAGCAACGCCCCCAATTTCCTGCATTTTTAGCAGCTCTAAACAAATAGCAGAAGGCTGTTGTAGTACTTGGGGCTGCTTCAGAGTGATCAAAGAAAAATAACAAGGTTGGCTCTCCATTACCAACTCAATTCCATTCACTTTGTTTAAGAAATGTCACGGCATTCCCAGACAAAAATAGACTCCTTAGGGTCTGACAACATTTCTCCCCTCCTGAAGTGAATTAGAAATAGAGACTGAAATTATTGTTATGATATTAACAAGATTTTCTTTCAGAAGTAGATATTAATTGAAAGCAATTTAGGTTGAGGTGGGGAGGAGACTGGTGTGACACTGCAACTTTAACACTATCTCTCCCAGCCACCTGCTTGATTGTAGAACACATCAGCCTTGCTTTAACAGCCATATGAAATGGGAACTAGGGCAAGGCGAAGGCTCTAATGGCAGGTACCACATATTTTCACAAGGAAGCTCCTTCCTGCTTCAACCCATCACAAGCCACCCTGTATACCTTAGCATCCTGAATTAACAACCCAGCTACATAAGCAAATGGCTCAGTTAATGGGCACAAGTGAGACACAACCAGTCTGCTTTAAAAGCCAAAGGTTATAAAGGAAGACAAACATGTGCAACACTTCTCAATCCACTGAGAGAATAAAGGAAGCAGTCTCAGTGTTCACTGAAAAATGCTGGATGCCTTTTTAGGTTAGTGACCGATCATCTGACTGCTGGCTATTAAAACTGCACTGTGGATCACAGAATCTTATATTGTGACATCCAAAACTGCACACAGTTCTCAAGGTGAAGCCACACTTGAGTAGAGGAGGAGAATCACCGCTTCCAACTAATTAGTGATGCTGTGCTTGATGCACCCTAGGATTCAGTGAGCTGCTGCAGTTCCTTCTGGATTGTGATTGCTCCTGGCATTTCCTTAGTTTCCAACAGATATATGTAGGACCAATAAATACTGAAAACAAAGGAATTACATTAAGAGCCACCATACAAGAATTTCCTAACTTTCTCAATAAAATGTTCACTGGTTCAAGTTTCAGAGAAATGAACTTCAGCTAACAAGGCCAATAACCCCTACACTCAAGAGCTCCTATAAGCACCATTTCTCAACTCTAAACCAGAGATACTTTACTAGTATACAAAAAGAAAATAAGAAAACTAAGTTCAACTTAGTAACACAACTTGATCCAAGCAGTGTGTAAAACTGAAATAAAAAGAACCAAAGCAAGCTGGAAATTAGCTGCAGAGCTGGACCTGTAAGGCAAATAGTGTTAATCCTTCACTAGAAAGCTGGGGACAGAAGCAAGAGCCTCTCCCTGACTACACCCAAGTTAAACCATGCTTGCCTCCCATAGCCCAGAAAGAGCATCTAGTGCTGCAAAAAACAAAACAGAATTGAGGAGGAGGTAAAAAGGGAGAGACAAAGAAGCAGAACAAGAGTATGGCAGATGAGGCAGAAGGAATAAGAGTAAAATTACACTATGTGGGTTAGAGGACAGGAGAACACAGAGACAAAATAGCTAATACACAGAACAGTGCAGGAAGTGATGTGCTGCGATCCTTTACAGCAAAGAAATAAAACCAACTTATGACCCCCATGAGAGGGGCTGCAAATAGCCAGACAGGGTGGGACAGAACACATGAAGAAACCAGACTCCCTCCAAAATCCAGGACCTTCTCTCCAGACTTCACTCTGTGAGTAGTACTGCGTGCTTACTTTCCTCAACAGGCAGACAACGGAATCACCTGGCTTTACACTGTACATTCTGGACAGTGGTCACAGGCTACATTAAACTCCCACTCTCTAAGTCAAAACCCAAATATTACTTTCCATCTTCAGCAATATCTTGAACAACTAAGCAATACTAAACAAAAAAAAAAAAAAAAAAAAAAAAAAAAAAAAAAAAAATTAAGCAATACTAAAAAAAAAAAAAAAAAAAAAAGTCAGGTGAAAACAACTGCCCTCCAATGCTGTTTCCATCTCAAGTCTTTTGCTCAGTGAGGTGGGGAAGGGTGAGGACATGGTCCAACACCCAGAACTACTCAGTTGATTTTTTCTTCTTTTTACCAGCAACTCAAATTCAACAGACAGTAACAATCCAGAGATAGCTGACACCTGACTTGACTGCTGCAAAATGTCCTGGTTTGACATGGACAATTTTTGTCCATTCATTTCCCACCTTCTCTGGAAACACTGCTCCCCTGCTAAATTTGGATTATGTACCACCTTGCAAAAGAGAGCCTAAACTATGTCTTGTCACTAATTTCATGTACGACAGTCTGGAGTGTATTGTTCTAAAGGACATATCAAGGCTCTTCAGTTGGCAGCTCTAAACGGATCAAAAAAATCCCTTCTCTAGCAGCAAAAAGTGAACTACTCTTCCATGACATCAGAAATCTGTAACTGTAACACTGATAAACACCAGGTTTCAAGCAGTTTGTGGGCAACACTTCTTGAGCCCTCTAACTGCAACTATGTCCCTCCCCTAATCAGTTCTCTACACAAGACCTGAAAGGATCACCATGGTCTCCACACAAACGCTCACCACGGTGAGTGGGCAGGAAAAAACAGAATTAAAAAAAAACAAAGAAATGCTGCATAGCCTAAGTTGCAAGAGGCTGGTTCTTGCTCTAAAGCATTCAATGCTTCTAGTAACTCTGACAACATAGAAAACACTTCCTCCATCTTGTCCTGTTAAACTAATCAATAGTTTTGTGTAAAGACAAGAAATAGAGCTTATTGTCCCTTTCTAACTACTGTAAAATGGTAAAATACTATTTATCCAATAAAACTGACTGGAGAAAATATTTCTTGAGGTATCTTCATAGTTACAAAACTCCTGAAAGTTCTGTATTCTATATTATTGCTATAATGAACTTTTTTGAGTTAATCCTGCCAAAAACATTCAACAGATCAAAACAACAGAGTGCAGCAGAGCACTGTGATCGTGATACTTCTGACCTCCACCCAGGTATATTTCAGCTCTGAAATTAACTTTTGTATACAGAGGGAGAGAGATACAGGAAATATTGAGGTTACAAGTATGTGAATAGAAACTGACTCACCACAGTCCTTTGCTTGTTGGGCAGGAAGACTCTAACAATGGGCTTCTGTGGAGACTTAGGGTTATTCCGTGACATATCAGCAGGGTTTTGATACACTGAAAGGGATGAAGGTGCTACAGAGAGGCTAGAGGAGGAAGATGATGCAACTGTGTCTGTTGAAGCTGAACTGGAGACAGAGAAATCAGTTCCATTCCCCATGGATTCCAGTAACTGCTGTTCTCTCTGCTGTAGAGCATCAAGCTTGCTGGTGTACTCTTCATAGGCCTGTGAAGGAACAGCAGATGTTTTAATCATGTAGTAGCCTCAGACAAAACCAGAAATGCAAATTCTGATGAAACGTGAAACAAAACACTTCCTAAACTAATACAAATTTCCAAAGAATATGAACAAAGTGGTCAGGTCAAATTTTTCAGGATACAATGAAGAACATCATGTTAAACCTTCTGAACCATCAAGTAATGTTTTAATACATTAAATTAAGAAAAGGATAGCAGAAATCCTAAGTTAGTGTTTCCAAGCACCTGCACTGAAGATTCCAATTCACAACCACTTAAAAAAAGACTGAAGTCTGAGCTGAATTACTGAGCTCCAGATAAATTTATCATTCTGTTGGAATGACAGTTAAATACTTCTAATGCAATAATTAAGAGAAAGCTCAAATCTGCTTTTTAGGATCCGTATCTGATTCCTCACTGTTCACTATCCTTCACCTCTGGCACTATCCTTTCATATCAAATAGTACAAAAAATGTTTTTCTGTTAGAACACAACAAAGTTTGCCCATTTCAAAGCCATCCATAAACATATAAGTGATACTTGGAAAGTTTTTTAACATTTTTTCAGCATGTTTACACAAAACTTGATGTTTAAGATCAAGTTTCTTAAACAAACAAAAACATCAATAATATTAAATTTGCCCATTAAGTCTTTATGAAATGTAGTCAAACTAAACATTACTGCCAAGATGTATAAAACAAATATATAATAGGTATATATTTTTCTTTAAAGTGTGTTATGCACAACTTTGCAACAAGAAAATTCTGATTGATATCAAATACTAGAACAATTTCTTCAGTATATAAATTAGCAGAGTATCTTCAAAAACCTGAATCAGTTAAGCAACATGTGTTTCACACTACAGAAGCATGTCATTGTTAACTGACATATTTAGACCTTGTTTAGACCTTTACAGAAAAGAATAAACAAAAATCTTCCAAACCTAACATGCAAGCAGTAGGGAATGGAATTTCCTAATTTCTCTACAGCAAGAGCAAGATCCATACCAACATGCATAAATTCTTCAGTGATATTTTCCAGTACATTTACACAAAAGAAAAATACTTTCGGGTTCTGTTGTTGTTTTTTTTTTTTGTTTTAATTGCTTATTTTACTTGCTTTCCTACTTTTTTGTTTATAACTGTTGCTAATTAAAGTTGCAGGAGAATTGAATTGACCAAATAGTCTGCAGCATCTACATGTGGAAAAAGATAAATAAAGAGAAAAAACAACCAACATTTAGTAGTGCACCCACAAGTACTACTTTTTATTAGGAATTTATTTCTCCAGGTTATATGTGCAGGCTCACCTGATCCAAACTGCTCTTGCTGTATAAACAGTGGTTCATCCCTCCCTTTTTAAGAAAGCTTAGCATCCTCCCAGGATGGAAGTGAACATCACAGTTGCAAATTCTAAATGTTATGGGTACCACTTCTGATAAACATACGTTAGTTGCAAGAAACTGAGAATTATTTATTATATTTTTTAAAAACTGAGTGGAATTTATTTCTCCAGGTTATATGTGCAGGCTCACCTGATCCAAACTGCTCTTGCTGTATAAACAGTGGTTCATCCCTCCCTTTTTAAGAAAGCTTAGCATCCTCCCAGGATGGAAGTGAACATCACAGTTGCAAATTCTAAATGTTATGGGTACCACTTCTGATAAACATACGTTAGTTGCAAGAAACTGAGAATTATTTATTATATTTTTTAAAAACTGAAGATGTCTAGCACTTCACAAATAGACCCCCAACTCTGAGACTTGAAGCCAAAACATCTTCACTCTAACCCAACTGTATTGTGAAAAGTAAATTGAAAGATTACCCAACCATAAATAATGGCATTTTTTGGCTGTACAGTAACACGTGTCTCTCCTACTTCCAGGATCAACTTTGCATGGAAACTTGAGTAAAAGCTCCATGTGTCAAGAATTATTTTCAATAAACAAAAATTAGGAAACAAACTGTTACCATTTCACCAATACTGTTCTAAATACTTACTTCCCTTTCTCATGAACATTGCAAAATATTGTTCAAACACACACAACATTACATTGCTTCCGGACACTCATGGGTTTAGTTCCTTCACAAAATTACACAACTTTCAAAATATTCAATCCTACAATGTTTACATTGGCAGCTTAATCTGTCACTAATGCAAACCAAAGTCAAATGATTTATCTTAAGAGAATAAACAATGAGTATGGAAGGCTGGGAGCTGCAGCTGGCTTTGGGTTCTATACCACTGATTTCTGCAAAAAGCTCTGTATTTTTTCTGAGAACAAAAGCTCTCAAGTACCACACAGTTATTCGGTGTCATAGCAGAAGATCCCACAGTAAAACAAAGGAACTAGAAATGCATTGCTACACTTTAAAAACATTTTTCTCTTTTTAAAAGAATTCTTCTTATACGAAGGAGCTACAGTAGATGCAGCAGAAACAGAATATCTCCAATAAAATTTCATTTCACTAAGGTTAAGTACTTTGGGGAAACAAAGTTTCATCTGATGATTAACACCAATAGACCTTACAAAGACAACAGCACCAAGTCAAGACAGAAATATTCTACAGAGTTAAATTCAAAGATAGTTACATCAGCAAAGCTGACCTATGGCAAGTATTTCTAGCTAAAAGAAAGATCATGTTGCAGATTTGCCTATCAACTACTAAACTGTGGCAGCAGCACAGCCACTTCAGCAGACAAGCATCAACAGCTACACAAACCTTCAAGTCCATAAAGGCTCACTGTGTCAACTATGAGGTTGGTTTCTGACCATGTTTTTGAAAAACAAACTAAAAAGATTAAAAGTAAGTCTGTATGGAATCAATAACATGAAAAATATTAAGACGAATATTCAAACAAATCATTAAATCAAGGATTCCAAAGGCATTTCAGAAGGAAGAGTACAGGTAATCTAGACTGCAATCCAATCAGTTTACATATTCCTATTACGTAAGTTATGTTCTACATAAAACTTAAATCTTGCTTGATACAGAATAAGAGAGGAAAAAAAGGGTCAGAAGATACCTGCAGAAGTCATCTAGTCCTAACACACATTTAGCACAGAAATAGTTTTCTAGTTCAATGAGGTTCCTCAGGGCCTTGCCAAAGCAAGCTTTGCAAGTCTTGGAAAGATGGAGAGCCCACAACCTCTGGGCAGCCAGTTCCAGAGCTCAAACCCCAACTCATGATGAAGAATTGTCTCTTTTGAAATTAACTGGATGCTCACTATCTGCGACATTGCCCGCTCCCCGTAAGCTGTGCAGGTCTGGGAAGAGTCTGAGTCTTTCATTATGTTGAAAGAGCCCGCAGATTCCTCCTGAAGCTTCTCTTCCCCATGCTGAACACCACCCCAAAGCAGACACGCAATTAATGACTGGATGGGTGTCTCCTCATTTGCTGCTGCAGCCCAGTGTGCAGTTTGCTGCTGGTATTGTGAGTGTGGGTCACTGACAGCTCAGACTTCTCCCAACGTGGTGTGAATTTAAAAAGTTTAGTTTCACAAAATATATATTTGAAAAGTTGAACATTAGATTAAAATCCGCACAACTTGTCTATGTGCACATAATCCTATGGCTATCAAAAATAGAACAAAAAGTGAATCTTAATTATACTGCATATCAGTATATTTTCACATCATATAATAGTCTCATATGTGTGAGAACACCTCTGATACTTCAACTAAGTAAAATGCAACACGGCCTGATAAGCTGCAAAGTCCAACTAAAGCATTACAAGATGGCATGTTTATATTCAGTGTGCACACATGCCAAAATACAACTACTCTCTTATTCTGCTGTATATAGTCTGCAGTTTTAACTGTATATACCCAGGAGCAGCAGCCTTCAAGTTACTTCTTAAATGTTGCAACCTACTGACAAAATCAAAACTGACCTCAGAATTCAACAGAATCTGAGAGATGTTACGTAGATGTGCCAAAAGAGTTCTGTTGATGAGGACAAAGGATTTTCTCAAAAATATGCATTTCTTTTCTTACATATCATTTATATTATATTTGAAATTTGTTTTCTTGGGCCATGACTAGGCTATACATAGTAGTGAAATCATCAAAGGAAATAAAAAGCAACTAATCATTTTTTCTTTTAAATTAATCTGTGAGAAACCCAAGTGGCAAGATATGATTTCTTCTTCTTTCTGCCCCCTACTACATCTGGGTAGAACACCAGTCCAAACTCAAGCAGGTAACTGTTTTTGCCATGCCCTCTCTCTTCCTCAATCAAGTTTAGGTAATATACACATATTCCAAGACTCAAAAGCCTAGACTACAGGTTCTGGTCTTTGAAACTGAGATTGTGTTTCTATTTAAAAGATGTCTGACCTTTTAGGCTGTTGATCAAACGCAAATCCCACTAAGTTAAATGGGAGCTGAAGATAGACAGTAACATACGTCAACGATTTCTTCATTTAGTAAGACTCCTAAATCTGTACTTAGTCTAACTTTAGACACTCCAGATTTGGTCCAACATATTTGAACAGCATCTGTTAGGAGCCTGGTAAAAGCTAATCTGAAATTCCCCAGAGGGCCACCAGGTTTCCCAGTGTCTATATGCATTGTTAGCATTTTCCTGGAATCCCACAGTCTGGAACAACCTGAGATTCATCACCAAGATCTATTTTAGACTGTATTTGCATGCTGTTGCAATAAGCATACTTCAGATCAGCAAAGAGGTAATGTTCTTTAATAAACTAATTTGACCTCCTGCATGGATTCTTCAGATGTACAGGAACAAGAAATTAAATACTCTCCTGATGTTCAATAGCCAAACTCTCAGAACTGAGAACAGCAATGCCTCTGAATAAAACACATTCAGGCAAAGAGAAAGCCAAGAAAAAAATGAAAATCACAGTAGCTAGGGGCAAACATACCTCTACCCCCACAATTCTCATTTTAAATTGCTTCCAAGAGTAGGAGTAAGAAAGAGAATGATTCCTTCAAGACAGTATTAGAAAGCTGACCGAGTTCTAAAA